ATTCCTAAGAGATCGATTCTAGGGTTTGCGCAGCGGATGTAAAACAAAAATTTAATAAAACCCTAGAACCATGCTTCTATGAATCGTAGAAACGTTATAACGCTTACCTCAATCGATCTGGGGCCTGTATCAACTGAAGAATTCGTCCGATCACTTAGGGAGGAAGAATACCTCGCCCTCTACGCGTATCCACACCTCGGGATGGATTCCAACGGTTGGAACTTGTCTGCTAGGACTCGAATCCGCTATTCGATTTGTGCTTCGAGAAAAACGGACTTTGATCACACTCTCAATCTCTTGGATCTCTCCAAAAATCTGCAAAGAGTGTTCTGAAGTCGGCTCTTTTTTTTCTCTTTTTTTATTAGGGTTTTTAATCTCCCTTTTATAAAGTGGTTTAACCCTAATTTCGGTTTAATTTTCGGAAAACCGGAACCTAGAACGGACGGTCTGGAATTGCACGTGGACCGTCCGTTCCAGTAAGGTAGAACGGACGGTCTACGTTTAGTGCGGACCGTCCGATCTATCACATAGAACGGACGGTCTGCGTGTTGTCGTAGACTGTCCGTTCCACTCCTCAGAACGGAAGGACCACACGTTCGAACCGTCGGGTCTGGACCCTTCCGACTCGGTTTTCCGTCGTTTTCTTTCGTGCATTTGTCCTTCCCTGCGTGTGTGACCCTGTAGGTTCATTCGATATAGCAGTATAATCCGAAATCTCTATTTCGGATATACAAGTCATAGGCGGTCTCTAGCAAGACACTATGACTACCTATCTCGAATAGAGTTTGTTCGTGATCTTTACGAACGCCAGAGATGATTCCGGTTGATGATCCTTTTGTATCGCGATATCATATGTCGAACATAAGGCATGGACAAGCCACCTTATCTGATTCGACTGCTTTCTCGTTCACTGAGTTCGACTGTCTGAAATAGACGACGCTCGTCTATAGTGCGGCCACACATTTCTTCAGTCTCGCTCACACGAGGGGCCCCGCGATATCTCTCTCTTTTACGAGAGGTACAAATCCCGTCTTGACTATCTACAATCCAGTACATGATTTGTTTCGTACCTGATACACGCCTTTATAGTTCTCCTGTTACGCAGGACGTTTGACGTATTCAAAGCACGCAACTCCTCATGTTGGATCCGTAGATATCTCAGGTCTTAGGATCCAATCATGGAACCGCCATATGAGATTCAAGTCATGACGCTAGTCCATGTGACAATCTCACGCGGGTCATTCCAGTATTCCGTTCTCCAACGAATACCTATGATTGTGATCGTATCCAATACCTATGATCAACGCTATGATCATCAATCACACATCATACTAGTCTTAGTATATCATTATTCCCACAATGATACATGATTCATAACACATCTAGTATGCAAGAACATGTAATGAATCAAATACTCTCATAAAACCATAGAAAGTATCAATACATCAAATGTATCTAAATAAAACTCATAAACAGTACATCATAGAGCATTAAACCAACAAAATGTTGCTCGGTCCGAAAAATGTTCCAAACCGATTGGTCCAGAGCATGGACCGATCGGTCCACACGTAGGAAGTTCTAGACCGATCGATCCAGGTCTGGACCGATCGGTCCAGACGTCTGGATTTCATTAACTCGCCCAAATTAGGGTTTTAGGGTTAAGGAACTTTGGGGAACACCTCCTAAGCTCTTTGGCACGACTTTCAGACTCCTTTGAGAGGTTTTGAGAAAAGAAAACCTAAGAGATTAATCCCTGAAACCTTTGCGCAAAGAAGAATGTGTTCTTCAGTCCTAGCTGACGAGTTCCAACCGTTGGAATCCTTTCCGCCGTGTGGATACGTGTAGAGGGCGAGGTATTCTTCCTGCCTACAGTGATCGGACGAACACATCAATTGATACAGGCCCCAGATCGATTGAGGTAAGCGTTCTAACGTTTCTACAAGATCATGCATGATAGGTTTTAGGGTTTTATAAAAATTTTGTTTTACATCCGCTGCACAAACCCTAGAACCGATTTCTTAGGAATTAGATTCGCTGTAGAGATCCCAGGAATTTCATCATTTATCTCGTGTGAGAGAGGTCAAACGAGCTCAAGCCCAGACCCAAGATCGAGCTTGCAATGCCCTGAAGCGATTGGGCGGTGATTTGACGTTGGTGGGTCCGGGAGTCGCAGAGAACAGATGGCTCGAAAGATGCAAGTTGACCACTTGTGTTCGTTGTTCGTCAGACCGGTCGGTTTGGCTCCAGACCGGTCGATCTAGAGTCGAATTTTGCATTTTCTCGCACGTCTCTGGTCTGACCGTTCCGTCTCTCGGTCCGACCTAGGTCTAGACAATCTTTTCTCATTTTTTGTCTTTTTCTTTTCTTTCTGCATGGGGCGATTCCTGTGTCTTCTCCCGATACTGTACTATCTTTTTTTGGTGATTTTACGATATATCTATTTCATTATTTATCTCAAAAAATAATTAAATATTGATATCGGGTTTCGGGGTATTACACAAATGAGACCAAAACATGTCGAAAAGACTCAAAAAATGAGAAAAAGATTTATCAGGGTTGGCCAGATTTTGTCAGAGGCTGACTAGATTTGGTCAGGGGCTGACCGTGACCATACTTGGTTTAGACAGACGAGGCTTGGTCAGGACTGATCGGACTTGGTCAAGGCTGATCAAGCATAGTTTGGACTGACCAGACTTTGTTCTGGGCTGATCAGATTTTGTCAGAGCTGACTAAAATAGGTTTGGACAAACCAACTTGGTCCAAGCTGATCAAACTTGGTCAGAGGCTGACCAACTTTCGACGTCATTATTGCTGAAAACGTGTTTTCAGCCAATTTGACGCCCCACAAACTCACTTTTCACCCAATTTCGACCAAGTGGAGCACCAACACCTCCATTAATGCATCCAAAGTAATTAATCCTTCTTTTCTTCAACTATAAATAGCCCCAACCCTTTTTATATTCACACCAAAACTCAAGATAACAAGCTTTAATGAAAGAGGGAGAGGAAAAGGAGAAAAATCAAGGGGAAAAACTCGGGCAAACAAAGACGAGCTCGGGAAAGCAAAGGATAATGTGTCTAGATATGTCCAGAAGCTCTCCACAGTCCAAGAATGCACGAGAAACTCACACGAACAACACAAGTCAAACGAACATCCAAACCATGTGAGTGACTTGAGTTGAACTTGTGAGATTCATTTCTCACCGCCTAATGGTGGAAATTGATGTTTCTATGCATGTTATGAATCTATAACATGTCTAGGATTGTGAATGAATTGATATGAATCTAGACAAGTTAAAACGGAGAAAATTCGGGTCTAGAGTCACGGTCCAGACGGATCAAAATATTGTCAGAGGTTTACCAGAACTTGGTCAGACAGGCCAGAATCTGGTCAGATTTATCGGATTTGGTCAAAAGGATCATAATCTGGTCAAACATACCAGTAGTTTGTCAAAAGGATCACAATCTGGTCAGAGACTGACCAACTTTTATAAAAAAAGAAAAAAATGAATTGACTAATTCGAGTGCTATTATCGGCGGTAGGACTGGGCGTTTCGGTTCGGTTCTTCGGAACCGGACTGAATCGAACCGTTAAAACGGTATTTTTACCGACCTTAAACCGCTGTTATTTTCCGAACGGTATCATTTTTAGAGAACCGAATTTTTCCGGTACCGAACAGAACCGAACCGAACTTTAAAAATACCGAAAAACCGAATATTTTTAAAGGAAATCTATCATTTTTTAATAAAATCCGGAACCGAACCGATACCGAAACCGAACCGAACCGAATACAATAAAAAACCCGATTGATACCTATTTTTATAAAACCGAAAGAACCGAACCGATCTATTCCGTCCCGAACCAAACCAGAAACGCCACCCCTAATCGGCGGCCCTGTTTGTTTGTTTGTTTGTTTTTTTTTTTTTTTTTTTTTTTTTTTTTTTTTTTTTTTGCATTTGTCTCTCCTCTCCTCCTCTCTCAGATGACATATTCTCTTTCTCGAGAGACCCATTCCTCAGATTCCATCGGAGGATGACGACGCCGGAGAAATATCTGGCAAGATTTCTCACCATCCAAGAATGGGACGCTCTCATCGAAGACTTCCGTCTCTCCGGCAGTCCTCGCGATTGGTTCGCCGCCGCTTTCCCGGTGACTTCTCTGGCGGACCTCGCTCTCACCTCTCTCCTCAGGAAGGACTTCTCTCCTCAGGTAAAGCTCTCGATCCTCGTCTTTCTGGACGAATTTTCTGCGATTTTGTTCGAGGGTTGTAGCCCCGAGACTTTCGATCGCTTCGTCGATGCTCTTCGTGTCATCGTTCAGTCTCCGACGGATGGGTCATCAGGGTTGAAGGAGCAAGCGATGGTTTCTTCTACTTCGGTACTTGTTTCCGTTGATTCGGTCTCTTTTGGTCACGTTGAAGCGGTCGTCGATTTGCTCCTCGCCCTCGTGAATCGTCCCAATCATGGGTTTGACCGCCACGCACGTGCTGTTGCGTGCGAGTGCCTCCGGCAGCTCGAGAGGGCATTTCCCGGTTTGCTCTCTGATGTCGCCGGTCATCTTTGGTCGCTTTGTCAAGCGGAGAGAACCCACGCCGTACAGTCTTATCTTCTGTTGTTTACCACTGTGGTTTACAATGTGGCTAATCAGAAGTTGAGCGTTTCGCTTCTCAGTACCTCTGTACCATTGGTTCCTTTCAATGCGCCTGCTTGGATGAAGGATCAGAGTTCTGGTTTTGGTCATGGTCCGGGATCAGAGCCAAATCCGAAGGAGCTTAGACGAGCATTGGCTTTTCTATTGGAGTCTCCTTATTTGTTCACGTCTTACGCTATGATGGAATTCATGGGTATGGTAATGCCACTTGCGTTGGCATTGGAGTTGCAGGCTTCTATGTTGAGGGTTCAATTCTTTGGCATGATATATTCATTTGATCCGATGCTCTGTCATGTTGTCTTGCTCATGTATTCTCAGTTTCCTCATGCTTTTGATGGGCAAGAGAAAGAAATCTTGAGGCGTCTTATGCTTCTCTCAAAGGAAACCCAGATTTATCTCGTTTTCCGTTTGCTTGCTTTGCACTGGTTAACGGGTTTGTTGAACAAGATTTTGTTGTCTGGAGAGGTTGAGAAGAAGAAATCAATTCCTGGGATGGGTCAGAGGTTTCATCCGGATGTGTTTGATCCACTCGCTTTGAAAGCAATGAAACTTGATTTGCTGGTGAAATGTTCTGTTCGTTCCAATGGTTTAGGTGAGGGTGATAATGGAAAATCTTTGGCGAAGTTGTTGCCAGATCTTTTGATATGTGTTTCGGATTTCAAATGGTTGCCTCCGTGGAGTTCAGAGACTGCAGTGGCATTCCGTACATTACATAAGTTTCTGATTGGTGCCTCATCCCACTCTGATTCCAGCCCTTCCACCACTAGAATCCTCATGGAGTCTACAGTCTTCCAAAACTTGCAGGTGCATATCTTTCTTGTTTCTAAATTTTTACTCCTAGTTTGAGAATGTTACTGATTTTGGAGATCAGATTAAATAAATGCTACATGATTTGCTTTTGTTAGCTGCACATGAAATTGGCATAGAAGATATCCATATTTTTTTAGTAGTAAATTAGTCAACTTTCTCCCGACTCAATCAATCAAGATGAATGGCTTGTTCGTTGGCCAAATTCTAATGCACTAGAATTTTTCCCCGTACTAGCTGTCTGACTTTCTGATGGATACTGTATTTATGTCCGAATGTGGAAAATGTACATTTTTGCATTATATATAGTTAAGTGATAGCTAATATTGCTACTGCTGAGGCGTTCAAACTATTTTCATCTTTTGTATGGGAAGATAATGGTCGGGTGTGTTCCATCTGGTGTAAGGGGTATATGTCGGAGTATGAATTTCTGCTGTGGTTTGATATTTTCTTTGTTTCTTTATTCTTTACCATATTTTTCAAGTGAAGATCCTACTTCTAGCCAAATGTATGTATTTGTGTTCCTCTGAGGTGATGTTATTTGTGGCGATAACTACTAATTTCTCCTTTCCTTGCATTCCCAGTACTGTATATATGTTCTGGTTTTGGTATGCTCTTTTTAGTTATGGCATTCTATCTTCAATTCAGGGAATGCTGGTGGAAATGGCTCGGGTGTATGAAAATTTGGTCCCGGTTGTAGTGGCTTTTATTGACCGATTGAAACACTGCCAGATACATCAGTGGTTAGGGGAGGGGCTTCTTCAGACAATCGATGAGAAACTGCTTTCCAAACTTGAAAAAAGAAAAAAGTTAACGGCTTACTTCCCGCTCGAACCAAACCAGAAACGCCACCCCTAATCGGCGGCCCTGTTTGTTTGTTTGTTTTTTTTTTTTTTTTTTTTTTTTTTTTTTTTTT